TGATTGCAGGTTTACTAGAACTGTAAGAGGCAGGTTTCTGCTCTTTGAAGTCACACAGTTTAAGGTACTTTGCATTCCTTGGAAACAACAGGCAAACTTAAGAAGAAGGGACTACTACTTTTTCAAGTTCATTGTAAAACAAAGCTCTAGCAAAATATCCTCAGTTGGATTTGTTTGAAATGCATGGTTTGTAGGAGGAACTTCACACTTCATTTTCCGTTGAGGAGGAGGATATTTATAAACCATGGAAAGACAACTGCAGGAAGAGGTGTTTTAAACATGGGACTGGTTCGGCTGTGTGACTGGTGGAGAAGGGTGTGAGTTACATGCAAATGCAATGGAACTTCTTTATAATGTTTTCCAGGAGACTATTTTTAATTCTATGTGCAGAAAACCATTACACAAAGGAAAGTATTGCTTTCTGGATCTCTGGCTGGGGCTTAGAAGTGTTATGTGTGAGAAAACACTGAAATTAGGGGAAAGAAGAGGCATTATGACAAAATAATCTTGTATTATGCTCCAAAATGTCAAATTATGAAGTGTTAACTCAAATTCACTCTCAGTCAATTGTTTTTGTTCACATTTCTGAAGTTAATTTCCCTTACATTTTAAATAAACACATCTCATTTGGAAGTAAAATAAAAATAAAAGAAATCTTTCAACCACAAGCATACAGCACTTTTTAAGGGATCCCCTTTCTACTTAGAAGGGAGACACAGGAGCAACTCTTTGAATTATTAATACTCATTAAAGTCATTAAAAACTAGGGACAGCTAGACCTGGGCAACAAGCAACACAGGGAGAAAAGTGCTCTTGGAAGTTACATAGCTCCGATAACAGCAGGGCATTTTACAAAATTCAGTGACGTTTCTCAACTATATAATGAGATAGGTTAGTTTTTAAAGGGCTGTTTGGAGCTAACATATACAAAGTAGGCAATAATTATAAGCATTAATAGAAGCTTAATAAATGTCTTTTCATCTTCCCTGTAGAACTGTTAACACACATTTGCTTTTATATTGTGGAACTGGGGAAGGCCAGAGGAAGTGTCAGTAGTATGTTCAGATTTAGGTTCTGGTTCAGTGACTGGGAAATCCCAGCATCTGCCTTAGCAGTTGGGGAACCTATTGGGTTTCTTTTGGATGGAGTGGAAGAGTTCCGTCTTGCTAGGCAGCTCTGTGAATTGCCTGTGCAGGTATAAATACATTCTGTCCCAGCCCTGGAAGAAGACTTCTGTTGATTTTGCAATTCCAGCATGGTGCATAGGAAAGATTACTGGATGTGGAGCAATGAGAAATGGTCTGAGGTAAATCTGTCCAATCTATCCTGTCTTTTATTCCTTCAACTGCAAAGTCTGCTGCCAGGGAGGGAAATAGATTTATATCCACACCTATTTTGACATGTATTAGCTAAGGTATATTTTAGAATCTGTCAGCTGTGGTTTAACACTTGGCTTCAGTACTTACAAGTGTTTGCTATTTGACAAATTATTTAACCTTTCTGAGTCTTAGTCACCCCAGTTTTAAAACAGGGAAAGTACCTAATTGAAAGGGTTGTAAAAATTCAGTGAGAAAAAGTGCCTGATACAAAGCAACCTCAGTAACCACTGGTTCCCTTTAAACAGATCAGTGGTTCTTTGTCATGAATTAGATTTACCTAAAGCGCTCATTAAAACATGTAAGCAGGACCAGCAAGCTGGCACAGCAAGTAAAAGCTCTTGCTGTTAAGCTGATGACCTGAGTTCATCCTGGGAACTTTGTTTTGGAAGGAAAGAGCTGAAGTAACTCTTACAAGTGTCCTCTGATCTCCACACATGTGCCATGGTGTGTGTGCACAACCCAGCACCCCCAACACACACACACACACATACACACACACACACACACACACACACACACACACAAAGCAAGCAAATGTACTAAATTTTAAAATGCATACAGAGAAACAGTACCCCAGAGTTTTTATGCAAAGGGATGCAAAATTTGAATTTCTAATAAAATTCCTGGTGATACTGTTAGTTTAGGGATCAACTTTATTCTAGACCAAGAGGGTGGCAAAGTATTACATTTGCACCAAATTGGCCTACTACTTATTTTTGTGAAGTTTTATTGGAACACGTTGCTTACAACTAGTTTTGCACTACACCAGTGGAAGCAGATATTTGTGACAGATGCTGCAGGAAGCCTGAAATATATACTGTCTGTTCCTTCACAGAAAAGTGAGCATTGCTGCCCTAACCTATCATCTGGCACTCCTCCCGGGAAGCTTTGGGGCTCTTGACAATTCACTTAAAATTCTTTTTCTCTGTCAAGAGCCCTAGATATTAGAAAATATGCCTTCTGTAAGCCTAGAGACTTACTAATAGAGTCTGAAGAGACCTAAGGTCTTTCAGAGCACAGATGTTAAAAGGCTCTTTCATTTGAATGCCAGCTCTGTCACTTGTTATTTCATATAGATGTTAAGTTGGGATAGCAGTGTTTATGACACAGAGTTAGAGGGAGGATTAAAGGAGTTAATACATTGGAAACATCTAAAGAAGTCCCTGGCTCATAGGAAGTCCTCAATAAATGTCAGCAATTGCCGTTATGATTACACCAAAAAATAAGACTGAAGGTGCTCGTTTTTGAGAAAAATATGTTCCTTTTCTGGGGTCTGGAAGCGTCTTAATTAGTACATGAGATCACTGTATGTATTCACTGTATGTCTGTTACCAATGCAGTCACTCACTCTGGCTCAAAAACACTGATCACAAATCTTGCTCTATCTCTAATGACTATCAAAAGCAAAGCGGTAGACTGCATTTTTATGAGGGTGACTCATTAGAGTTAATGACAAAATTAATAGGACCTTACCCAAATCCTTTCATTTTTCAGCAGCCCATTGTGCAGCCTTAAAGACTCATCTCAATTGGGAAACAGATCAAAGGTTCTTTAGATCAGAAAATCCAGTGTATCGTCCAGAGGACTCTCTGTGGTGAAGATTAAATTTCTACCCTGAGTTGTTTGTTCCAAGCCTTAGGTTCTCCAGAAAAGACTTGGGGGAATGATGGCTCTTTTTGGTTTCCGTCATAGTGCAGGTTTTCTGGGAGACCCTCTAATATTTTGCCTTCTAATATTTTGAACTGGAGGCACCAGGTATGTAAAAGATGCAATAGAGAGGCTTCCCCAGCAACTTGCACAGTATCAGCCTGCTGTATGCTTTCCCACAAGATGATCTCTCTCTCTCTCTCTCTCTCTCTCTCTCTCTCTCTCTCTCCTCTCTCTCTCCTCTCTCTCTCTCCCCCCTCTCTCTCTCAACATTTGTCATCACTTTTTTGCACTCACAGCCCCTGTGAGGGATGGTATTAGAATTGGGCAGATCTAGACTCACATCTTAGTTTTTCCCTCTTAGCAGGTATGTACCTGATTCTCTATTTCCTTTTCTGAAATGCGACAACAGAATAATGTAGGTATTGTGAACACTAAATACACAAGCATGTGAAAAGATCTTGTAGGATTTATCATGCATGTGACATCTCCTTAAACATCAGAACTTTGTGCTCTGCTCCTACCATATCCACTGTTCTTTGTGCTATGAGACCTTTTGGAGCAAAATCACAGCTCTCACCTCAACGGGGATAAGAGATAGTTTATTTTGGAGCCAAATATTAATGACTATAGCCCAAGAACTATAACTATTCAGGTTAGCCCAAATTCCATGTTCCAACATGGTAATAGTTTAATGAAGTTTTTGTACTAACAGAACAAAGAATGTCACAAATCGAGGCACTTCTTAAATATATTAGTGGGAACATCAGGTAGACAGTTTACAGCCACTCCAGGAAACCTCTACTGTAGGCCTCAGGTGCTACCTGACAACACTCTTAGCCTTTTGGTTGGTAGAAGCTAGTAGTTTATTAATTCAATACGCTCCAAAAGGTTTCACTTGTTAGTCACAAGGGTTAGATCAGACACAGAGATGGACAAGGAATGGTCATAAGGGGCTAAAGATAGCCCAAGATAATTTCAATTAGGCTCTGGACTTGAAACATGGAAACTCACCACAGTCATATAAATTCTAATCAATTAATCAGCCTTGCAGAGGTTCAGCATAAGGTACAGTTTCTTCCAAGAACTATCATTCACACACCTTATAAAGTAGCTGATCTTTATCCCTTTACTCTGCAGGCATTGCACGACATGGGTGCACTTACCTACATGCAGGCGATACACACATACGCATAAAAATAATAAATAAAATATTTTTAATTAAATAAATAATAAATAAAGTGGTTTTCCAAATAGTAAGACACTCAGCCCATGAAGCTGATCACAGGTCTCACTTGGTGGGAACAGCCACCCCTGAAGGAGTTCAAAGCAGTTGGGGCCAGGCAAAGGCTTCAGAAAGGCAAACTGCGGAGGAAGCTTGTGCAAGATAAATTAATTGCTGATTGGGTGAGTTTGTGGTGTTAATGAGGCAATTAACACTTGGGGTAAAAATAGTTGACTGAATTCTAGAGGAAACCAATGGTTTGGAAGCAATGAAAATGACCTGGCATAGATTTAGGTGAACATACGGTAAGGACACAGGGACTAAATTGGTGAAAGTATATCTCAGATTTGAAAAAAGAAATGTTCTCTATCCATGGTATTGCATGAATGAAAGCATATAATATAGAAGTAGCATGAAAGAATTCATTTTTATTTGAAAGCCTGCCAAGCCGGGCGTGGTTTGGTTTGGCTTCCAGCAGTAGCAGGACCGTGTCTTGAAAATCAGAATAAGTAAATGCACAAGCAAACATGGCGGATAGAAAGCTTTTTCCTGCATTAATACAAGTATTTTTCCACTGTAGAAGTCAAGCTAGCTTCTCAATAATTCCCCAATTCTGTATTCCCTATTGATAGAATTAACATTGCTGGTGAAACTTCAATAGGCTTGTGAACTATTTCAGTGGATCCAAAGTTACAGAACAAACACCATGACTGGCATCTTTCCCTAACATCAAAACCAAACCCCGGATCTTAAACGTCTAAAGTAAACTTGGACAATTTAACCCTCATTTCCTCTCTACTTTGCAGCAGCTGAACTGTCTTGTCTCCTGTAATGATGACTGAATTTCTCCTGGTAGAAGAGATGGCTTCAGCACCTTTCTCTTCCTCACGGAGGAATGACATGAAGGTAACCTGCAGAAGTCCTAAATACAAAAATAAATGCCAAGTCTTACTAACAACTCAGGCTCAATAACACGCCAATAATGACTGCAAGAAGCTTCATAAATACATATTGCTTTAAAAACTAAAATTATGATGAAAACACCAAATAACTTGTTTTTTCTCCCAGACAGTTAGGTTTTTAATTCTGAGAATTGAAATAGTTAGGGTTCAATATTAATTTATAGAGGATTTTTAATACCTTTAAAGTTTCCTGTAAACTTTCAGGTCAACAACCTGAACCCTTTAAAGTCACTGGAAGCTAAATTAAGGGTAGAAGTCTCCAATGTGTTTTGTCTGCTAGAGAATGTGGTACTTACCCCCAATTCATCTGGTTTTGAGTTTAAATTTCCATCCAAGCTCTAATTAATCAAGAATTTAAACTTCAGAAGGCAAGGAAAATTTGACTAGGTTGGTTTGACCAAGTTTAGTCTGACAAAGGTTTTTTTTTTTTTTTTAACTGAATTATTCCTAATTTATTCCAGAATCTCTGTTCCTGAAAAGGGTTTATGTTTAATTGGCCATGAGAAACTATCAATGAGACCAACTATAAGTAAGTTGACTTATTGTTTAAATCATACTGAAACATCATAAAAATGTTTATAAAATACACAGAGTGACAACAATAAATAGTTTGGAATTTATCTAACATTCTCAGGAATCAAGTGATGGGGCGGTTTGGTGGGGTTGCATCTGGGAAGGGATGCAAGTTTTGTAGAAGGAAGGCACTGAGAAATCGCTGAACACACTGATGGAGAGGTAATCCTTCCACGACCAAATCCTTGCCTGGCTGTTGATTTATAATTGTCATCTTTCAAGATTAAATTATATATGTTTAATTTCTCAAAAGAACTGGCTCAGTAGCAGAGAAAACCTTGTCAAGAGGGTCAGACAATCACACAATCTTAGGACAATGTGTTAAATGCATCTTGATGATTACAGTGATGTCTGTTTTATACCAGAACATCTTCGTTTTATTTGGCCTCCTTGATGCTGGTATTAGGAATCACAAACAACTGTTTTCCACCAGTGCTCTTTTGGTACCTTCTGCACAGTCCATCAGTTGTGAAGTGTAATCAATCACTTCTCCAATTTTGTTAATAACTACAAGGCCAGACAAGATAGGCTTCCCTGAGACAAAGCAGTTTCAATTCTGTGCTCAGCAGCATTTTTGACCAGCATTGTATTTCCCTTCTCTGGACTCACATTTGTTTCCCCATTGCTCTTAACACCCATGACTAATAACACCATGTGCCTAATTTCAAGCTGTGCCTTTGTCCTCATCTCAACTTTACTGGTTCCCCCAAATCCTATTTCCTTGAGCGAACATCACAGATGGCATGCTTTATAATTGGTCCATTGGTCATGCACTTAGTATTGTTTATGGATGGGAAGATGGGATATCTTCTGTGGTGTAAACCTACCCTTCTCTGTACCTTTCATTCTGACACCCTCACTTATCAAAATTATATGTTTTCATTGTTGAAGAAGCTGAAAATATTTTCTTTCATGTATTTACAGGAGTAGATATCCTCAGAGGAAAACCTGACTACGAAAGTCCATGGCAGCCTTATTTTCATAAAGCATTACTGGTAAACCACCATGAGGCACTCTTACTGTCGTTCTAAAATAAACGATAATAGTTAATGATGTAGGTAAAAAGAAAACCTGAATAAATATCTATTTATCAAATTCCATTTAAATTACAGTGACTAAAATTCCCCTTAACACAAGTTAAACTCAATAAAAACAGTAAGATTAATAAAGTACTTTGGATATTAAGTCTTCCAAATATCAGTTAATTTGACATGGGATAAAAATTGATCCTAGGGGCTGGAGAGATGGCTCAGGAGTTGAGAGCACTGACTGCTCTTGCAGAGGACCCGGGTTCAATTCCCAGCACCTACATGGCGGCTATGAACTGTCCTTAGCTCCAGTTCCAGGGGAATCCAACACCCTCTTCTGACCTCTGTGGCACTGCACAACACAGGTGCACTCACATACATGCAGGCAATACACTCATACACATAAAAATTTTAAAAATAATAATTTTTTAAAATTGATCCTAAAGGGGCTAGAGAGACGGTTCACCGGCAGTTGACAGCACTGGCTGCTCTTGCAGAGGACCCAGGTTCTATTCCCGGCACCCACATGGCAGCTAATAACCATCTGTAACTCCAGTTCCCAAGGATCTGATACCTTCTTCTGAACTCTGTGGGAATTGTGAGACACAGGTGCATTTATACACATGCAGGCAATGTGTTCATACACATAAAAAATAAAAATAAAATAAAACATTTAAAAATTGATCCTATAAAGGAATTAATGAGATTCCTAACAAATTTATGACCTACACACTTGGCAACAATTGGGGAATCAAGCAGAAACAACATGTAAACTATAAATTAAAGCATATGTAGAAATAACTGAGAAGAAGGGATCTTTTTCGTTTTATTAATTTGTTGGTGTTATATTTTATTTCATTTTTGAGGTAAGATCTAATTATGTAGCACAGGCTAGCTTTTATTTTCAAATCCTCCTGTCTCAGTCTCCTGAGTGTCAAAATTACAGATATGAGCCACCATGCTCAGCTGGGGCCTTTCAACACTGAAGTAAACACATGTAAGATATATGTTAGATAAGTTAAGACTCTTGTGCCATTTTTGTAGGGTGGAGAATGCAGACAGTGCTGCTGGAGAGCTTTGACTAAAATGTGGTTAAGGACCCCCGTTTCATGGAAAAATAACATTCACTAACTATGACTAGTGAGTGACAATATAGACATGTCTATGTCATCAACATAAAAGGCTCTGTGACTTCATTCTAGGGGATTATGTTAGCAAACACCAAGATTCACTACTATAACACTAGCTTTGCCAGCTTATGTGCTTGGAAATTTGAAATAGGCTCTGGACTCCCCACTACTGTCAGTAATTACACTTTTTCCTAAACCTCCACATCAGCTTCTGAAAGCTAACTTCTTTCTGATATTGATGTCCTGTGCCTAGACTTTGCCATAGAATCTCTGTCCCACCTAGTTGTGAAACAGTTCTGATTTTGGCCTGAGTTTGGACCTTGTCTGGTTCTCCCTCAGCCTATCAAAAGCCATGCTAACCCATTAAATCCACAGAAGCTACATGCTTCTTTCTGGAATGACTCACTGACCCTCCTCTGACTCAGGTGGCCAACCTTGGGATCCCTACCAGGCGATTACCCCTAGTCTGGGTCCACATGCCACTTGGCCCATCACAGGAGCTATGAAAACCTGACCAGCTATGCAACATCTTGGGCTTTACTCGTTAACAAATCTTCAGAGCAGAGTGGGTCATGCTGATTATTCAACCAGTTGATATGTCCCTGCGGCTTCTCTGAGGGAAAAAGAAAAAACAAAAACAAAAACAAACACTGTCTGTTTAGAATTGAAAGCATTGAGGAACTGGAAAGAAAGATGGATCAGATAATAATTAAAATCTTTTTCTAATTTAAGTTCTAGGTTTTACATTTTATAGACAAGAAAACTGAATCTGAAGCTCAAGGTGGTTAGCTCTCCAACAAAGGCTTAAAAATGAAGGCGGGCTGGAGAGATGACTCAGCAGTTAAGAACACTGGCTGTTCTTGCAGAAGACCTGGGTTCGAATCCCAGCACCCACATGGCAGCTAACAACTGTCCGTAACTCCAGGTCCAGGGGATCTGACAGCCTCTTCTGTCCTCTACGGGCATTGCACAACACCGGTGCACTTACCTACATGCAGGCAATACATGCACACACATAAAGTAAAAATAACAAATAAAATATTTTTTAAAAATAAATAAATAAAAATGAAGCTGCATATTGATAAATGTGGAGGTATCACAGAGGTGTGCTGGTAAATGTTTAACAGCTCGATTTAAGTGGGAGTGTGACTATTTGAAACATTGCTGTGGTGTAATTCCACGGAGCTTAATTCTGTGCTATAAACATTCCCATAATAGCTGATTTCAAGCTACCAATCTCCCCTGGAAACTGGTACCATCCTATTTCTTTTCTAATACATCCTAAACGTAGGTCCTGGTATTACATTGATAATGCAAGGTCACTAACTGGTCCCATTGCCCTGTGTTTCTCTACTTGTACAGGTAACTTCTTGTGGGTGTGGTTCCGTTCCAGAGTTTGAGATAGTTTATCCATAGACCTGGGGAGTATAAAGTTCCTACACTAGTGATTTATTGACTCAGCTTGGGTTCTTCAGTCCTCCTCATACCCCTCTTCCCTGCTTGCTTCTTAGTGCTCTGTGAGACTATCCAGTCTCCTTGGGCCTGGCTTATTGCCAAAGAACCTACTCACCTTAAAATGTGAACTTCCATAGATGGTAATTAAAATGCATACCAAGACACATTTATGAGTCTGTTTTACTCTAATGTTTTATACAGTTGTTCAGATGATAATCGAAACACTGAGAAAACAGAGGTAGCTGCACTACAGAAAGCAGGGGCTGGGCTATTCTGAGAATCGAACGCTGAATAAGGTTTCTAGATCTAGAATCACTGTAGAAGTGGGTGACTGCCAACGACACTGAACTTCTTTATCCTCTTCCTTTTCTGACTCATGAAAGACCTAAAAATGCATAAAAGCACTTTGTTTGGTGCTGAGTCAAAGAAACATCAGAGCTGTATGCCTCCCTCGTGAATAAGACATTCCTCTATGATGTCACCAAAGATATACTGAGCTCAAAATGTAGCTGAGGAATCGCTTCACGAATTGATTTTGGTATCAGAATTTAAGAAATACTGTCTCCAGCACAAAAATGAATGGTCATGCACAGTCACGGCCACAAGTCATAGTTCACTGAATGGTTTGTTAATGGTTTGGAGAAAAAGCAATCCAATTTATTATAAATGAATTACAATGCGTCTAGTAAATGAGCTATTATGAGGGGGACATGGCTGAGTGGATAAAGTGCTTGCTATGCAAACATGAGGACTTGGGTTCAGATCCCCAGCACCCACTTAGTTGATGTGACAGTGCAGCACCAGAGTTGGGGTGAGGGGAGTGAGACAGGTGAATCCCAGGTTGTTGCTGGCCAGTTTAGCTTCAATAGCTAGTTCTGGGTTCAGTCAGAGACCCTGTCTCACCATAAGGTAGAGAGTGGTAGAGGAAAATACCCAGTATCGACCTCTAGCCTCCACATAAGCATATGTGGCTACATGCACCTGAACATGCATGTGTGCACACACACTTATACTGCACACACATGCACACCACAGTTCACAAGGATCCTGAACCAGGACCCTGAATGCTGATAAAACCCTTCCTCTTATTTTCTTCCAAGGCAGCATTCACGGCACCTACGCACCTTGAGAAATTTGTGACGAAGTTGGGACCAAGTAGTAGCCGCGGAATGTTTCTGTTATGCTCTCATCACTCTGGAAGGCTAACTCCAGGTGATATCTCTATGGACTGCTTCCTTCCTTTTAGTACAGTCTCTGGGTCCTTTATTCTACATCTTCATAAACTGTGGGCAGTGACCTATATGGGTTTTGTAACTGAAAATGGGCAATAGCTGAAGGTTTCTAAACACTAAAGAACAGAAATCAAAGGCACAGTGATCAGCCATGTTTATGTGTATGAGTGTATTATGTAGGCAGGTGAACCCTTGTCGTGCAGTGCCCATGCAGAGGTCATAAGAGGGCCTTGAGTCCCCTGGAACTGGAGTTACAGGTGGTTGCTAGGTGCCATATGGGTTCTGGGAATCGAACCTGGGTCCTCTGAAAGAACAGGAAGTATTGTTAACCACGGAACCATCTCTCCAGCCCCGAGATTCATTTTTAAAAAGTGAAATTTAGCTTAATATTAGGACAGAATTTCCAACAGCCTTTAATCCCAGCACTCGGGAGTCAGAGGCAGGTGGATTTCTGTGAGTTCAAGGCCAGCCTGGTCTACATAGTGAGTTCCAGGACAGCTGGGGCTACAGGGAGACACTGTCTCAAAAAGACCAAAAAAAAAAAAAGAAGTTAAATTGTTTATGTAAAAATAAACAAGCACATTTATTTCATTAGTATATAAATTTGATTTCTTTCATTTTTAATAAATGCCAAATTAAAATTTTTTTAAATTTATTTTTATTTTACGTGTGTGTTATGCCTACATACATGTAAGTACACCTATGTTGTGCAATGCCCACGGAGGACAGAAGAGGGTGTTGGATCCCCTGAAACTGGAGTTATAGACAGTTGTTAGCTGCCATGTGGGTGCTAAGTTACGAACCCAGGTCTTCTGCAAGAACACTCAGTGCTCTTAACCTTTGAGCATCTCTCCAGCCCCAATAATAAATGCTAAATGTATATGCATACCAAGGAATTGTTTTAAAACAAGTTTGTATATGATTCACTATCAGCAATATTTGATTATAATAGGTATTAATACCTAATTTTATATTACACATATAATTAGAACCATATAAAAATTTCTCTGGCAAATAGGGATTGCAAGTGGAAAACCTCTAGAAGTTGTGCTTTATTCTATTATGTTATATAGCAATTTCCTCCAAAATAAAATCTTCCATCTTGGAAAGAAGCCAGTTAAGTCAGGATGTTCTGAAGAGAGGTGAAGAGTCCATCCTGCAGGGAAAAGCTCCTTAAGCTAAGGAAGCTTCATAGCTTCAGGAAGTCCCTGATACTGACTAGATACACTAGGCCTCAACCTCTGCAAGCATATGTACTCAG